AGCAGCATGAATAGAACGGAATGGTGAGATCCAAACTGAGATGAACCACAATTATCTGCTGAGCTCCTGATTACAGAAAGTTGGTTTTCTTTTCACCAACCTGAAAATAAGCTGGTTGCTTCCATTTGGAATGCATTCAGCTGCCGGGAACAGAAACATGACTTCAGAGGGTCATAGGAACCGGAAGTACTTTTCCTCATGGAACGAGAGGACTGGGAGAGGAGACAGTTGCTGGTGGTGGTTCAGTGGCTGACCACACTATGAGGGGCTCAGACATGGAGTCACCTTCATCCAGTGGGTGAACTGTAAGTATGCTCACTCTGAACCTTCTACTGAAGGGAGCTTCTATGTAAAGATAGTTTCAGAGACCGAAGAGGCAAAGTAAATTAGTTGATTAATAAAAGCAGTGTTAAAAATGATGAGCACAGGAAAAAGAAAAAAACCCACCCAACCGTCCTCAACAGCCAAAACCCAAAAACCAAACCAGAACAAAGATAATGAGCATGTGCCCTAGGATTTGGTAGTGTTCTGTTTAAAAAGTGTTCTGCCTCATACGTGGTCCTCTCCCCTGGCGTAGTTAAAATAGGTATTTCCTCTTTGTTTGGTTTCGCGCTATTGTCTCCTGTGCTCTGTGGTCCGTAGCCTTGTCACCAGTAGAGGCAAAACAGAGATAGCAAGGACTCGGCCCTGGAACCACATTTGAGTGGAATGATCTGAGACCATCTATGACCTACAAAAAGGGTGATGTCTTATAGTTGCACATAATATTATAATTATCATCATTTGGTGAGCATGTATCGAATGCTGATCAAGAAAAATTTTAACAGCTCCTAAGTGACCGAGCAAGGACTCAAAAAGTGCTCAATGTCGGTGTCCCTGCTAAGAAGCTCCGAGCCACGCTGCTTCTCTCTAATTTTTATCTTACGCTCCTCATGGTCCGGCCTCCAGGTAATAATGCTAAAGATAGAAACTTTTCCTACTTTTCAAACTTCACTGTGCCCCCTCAGAACATGTGAGAAAGTGCAGCCAGCATCTTCTGGAAGATTCCGTAGCCACCTTCCAGCTGACATTTGAGCCCTGCTCTCAGCACGGTCAAGCCTTTCGGAGGCAGCCAGTGTATGGCTTGTATCAAACTCTATATTTAGGAAGAACAACTGTGAGCTATGACAGGAATTCTCTTTAACACTTAGCCTTAAACCGAGTTTCCCTCCAGCCCCGAGCGGGGAGCAGCTCTCAGTACTGAGTGAGGCACTGAGCACTTGAGCTATTTCCGCCACATGCAAAGCATCGGAATTGAGATCACGGCTCAGAGGACATCGGGCGTCCGTTCCACCTTCTGAGGAGCCCTGTATTCTCGCATCTGGCTGCCGGGACTTTCCTCAGGCAGTAAACAAATACATAGAGCAGGTAAGCAGGAGGACCCAGCTCTGGCAACTGGGCTTTCTGAAGGAAATTTCCTTGATGCCTAACTTGAAGTGACTACTTATAACTTTGTAGGCTCGTAACTAGTGGCTGTAGCTTCCTTGTAAATTCACTATTCGTTGGTGGTGTTGCTGATTCTGTTTTAGAAATTGTCTGTGTATGCGGGGGGAGCTATCTGACAGAAGATTGAACTAAAAGTAGTTTTCGTTGATTGTGACATTAAGAAAATTTCCACAATCCACATAGGGTGACCGTGACCCTGAACATTATGTCATTTTCATTCTCCTGGCCAGGGTTACAGTCAGTCAGCTACAGATGGATTCGTGCTGGTAGCTTAGGAATAATCAGCAGGATTTGCAGCAGAGGAAAGGTATCACGCTAGCTCTCTGATTTACCTAAATGCAAATTATTGTCAGTGGTCACCCAGTACAAGTTGAAAATACTTTTCCCCTTTCCCTCCGCGCCAGGCTTGACCTCAGAGATAAAGTTCTATCAACTGTACAGATCGATTAACATTACAAAACCATCTTTTCGAAAGCCCCGCTTTGGTGCTTTGATCGTGGCGTTCCAGGTACCCAGCCGGGTGGAGGGCAGCACCTGTCTCTCCCCGTGAGGGTACCAGGTTCTGAGACCCGGCGATGATCAGTGCCTCTTGCCTCTCGGTGTATTTCAGGCAAAGTGAATAAGGAGTTAGTCAGTTCAGACAGCTGAATGTCTTTCTACACCCTTCTCAGGAATTATTTTTAGCTGCAGGACAGAAGATAATTCCCTTTGAAATGGAGCTCTAGCCATTTAGTAGACCTTTAAAAAGAACAAACAAAGCCTCTTCTCTCCAAATATTGATTTGTTTTACTCTGACTCCCTTATTAAATTAGTGATATAAATGTTGACAAATTTTTAGTAAGGGAGCGAGTGCTATTTAGAAGTCAGATATTAGGTCCTGCCCAATCAAAAAAGCATATATTGTCTATGACTCAGCATACAGCCCCCATTAAAGTTCCCCACTGACTTGCCGATCTTCCAGGAAAACCCAACACAACTGTGCTAAGCTGGCCAGCATTTCCATTATAGTATAGGCTTTGTAAAAGTCAATATACGTCTTGTCAAAGTTTCCACGTTTCTAAATTTTAGCTAGAACCAGGAAACACAGTAATAGAGTACTTTAAAGGGTACCTCTTCGGATGAAAAGCTGTGGTCAGCTGTGAGTAGAGTTGTGCATCTAAGACATAGCTGTCTTTTTTGGTCGCGGGACGACGCATGCAGATAAAGAAGGCAGGTGCATTCTACACCACATCCCTAACGGAGGTGAATGCAGGGCCAGGGAAACAGCCAGGGAACACTGTCTATTTTTATTCATCAGTGTGCTTTGCCCTGATTTCTCTGCGAATAATGAGGACAGCGGGAACGGCTGCAGGACGGATTTACACAAATGTTATATAGCCTGTTTGCAAGGAATGAGAGCTGGGATCTGACCAACTTTCTAAAGATGTCTCTATTGAAGACTGACATATATGTTCAGAAGGAATTTATATGCAAATGAGATATACCGAGGCTATACAGGAGATGAGGCCCAAGGTCTATCTATCTTTTAGGCTCAGAGGTCCACAGAAAACCAAAGTGATCCAATAGTTTAGTGAAAAAAACAAAATCAGCCTAATTAAGAAAAACAATGCAATATAAATAACACAATCATTCATTGCCTGATTTTTTTTAACCTTTCAACATGCTATTGTAATAACAAAAGAAATTTCCTACTTCCTATGTTTCAAATCGATATACAGTAACTTTTTGTTAAGTTCCCAAGTGATATTGTTTAAACCATAGTTGTATACGCACAGAGAAAACTATATGCTGAGATGTTTAAAGTCCTGTGAGAATTATTGCTTTGCATGGCTTCTAATAACTTTTGAGGAATAGAAACATTAAAAATTAAACTACCAAGCTTTTCCTTTTGATATTGAACTGTGTATAGGAGATCCGAAAATTAAAAAGCCTTCATTGACTCTTTGACACTGTGGGAAAGATAGAAATGTATTTGAAACATATCATACAGAAAAATGCATTCCTAATTGTTCCATTTGTTGTGGCTTTTTAACTTTTTAACCAAAGCAAAAATAATTCTACGTAGACCCTTCTAGATGGAAGCTATTTACGTCTATTACCAAAACATGCAGGTGAAACTTAAAGAAAAAATCTCATTGTTTTCATGTATGTGACTCCAAAGACTTACATTTGGCTACATTAGAGATTTTTTTAAATTATTTAATTGTTTAAGTTCATGTAACAGGGCCTATGACTTTGAAGATTTCAAAAACAATGTTTTTCAGAGTTCTCAGATCTTTTATATGTACAAGTGGTGAGGGGCATTGTCAGTACAACAATTCTTACTCTTTGCTTGAAGCTGTAGGTCAGTAAATTACTGAAAAGTCACAAGCCGTGGACAATGGCAATGAAACCATCAATATCTGCATCATGCTTTAGAGTTCCCGATGCAGCTTTGGGAACATTATGTCATTTTGAGTCTCACCACAGCTCAAGAATCAGGTAAAATCTAAGGAAGAGGAAAAGGGCCTAGAAATGTTGAGTGACACGGGCCACGTGACACAGGACGGGTCGCACATGCATTTACACCAGGCAGTAGAGGAAAGTCGGTCAACCCATTTTATGGTTTGGGTTTAAATAACAGCATGTTTTCCATTCACTGAATTTTTAACTTTTCCTGTTGGCCCTGTCAACATTTCATCGACCCAGCTATGACAATACTTAGAAGTGCGACAACAGGCCGGAGCCGGGCTGTTCCCTGCCCCCCTCACGCCAGCAAACCTTGGCCACTATTCATCTCTAAGTCAGATCTCCCCATCTGAAAGAAAGCACAAGTCCTTTGGGAAGGAAGCATGGCTACATCTTGGGGAAACGACATGGTCATGTAAATCCTATTTGCCTTCTGAGGCTGTTTCGTTAAAAGCAAAGCGGACAGGTGAGGCTTTAGAGAGAGTGGGCGCCGGACAGCCAGAGTGGGGAGATGAGGCCCCATCCTCACAGTGTCTCCCAGGGGCCCACCTGGAACAGACACGTGTGCAGTGAGTAGTGAGAACGTGGTCCAGGCCATTTCTCCTCGGGTGTTCAATGGAGAGGGGGAGCTCCCATCAGGCTGACACGCAGCCCTGGCAACAGCTCATTCAGATGAGAAGTTCAGTTTCAAGCAGAGAGCTTCCGAGGCCCCAAACAAGGGTGTTTTATTCCCACAACCTCTTTGCTTTGCTGCTCTCAGCGGAGGGGGCAGGAGGGCAGGGAAGGAGATGATAGTGCCTTTCAAGTTTCTGATTGCCTATCATTCGATCAGGGGCGAGGCATCTCAGCATTTCTCCTCCTGAATGATTTATCCGGGCGCTCTAGTGTTCCCTCCCCGAGGCATTGGGAAGGAGAGTCCGTAAGTAACTTCAGAAACTGAGACTGAAAGTGGTGACTGCCCAGCTGAATCATGAGTTAAGTTCTAATTTATCAAGCCCGAGAATCTGAATGCCGCCACCTCTAACAGTTTCTCACTTGTTTTTTTTTAGGGATAAGACCCCGCGAATATGTCGAAACAGCCGGTTTCCAATGTCAGAGCCATCCAGGTAAGTAGGCGTATTTGCGTTTTAACATCAGCTCTGTGACTCCTAGCCTGTTTGCTTAATAAATCAGACCTTTTTTGATTGTTCATTGGTAATTCACTTCAAGAAACAACTGATTCCTAGGGCGCAAATGAGACAGGATCTGAGTCTGGGAAGGTACAACTGCGGAGGGAGAAGCTGGTTTGTTCGATTGTGCTGAACTGTGAGACTAAGTTATGAATGAGAATTAACTGTCTACAAAAATGCAGTGTTTAGTTTTTGGATATATTTGTTGATGTGTATGTTTTTGATACGCTCATTGATATGAATTTAAAAATTCACTTTCCATTTTTATATTTAACTGAATTTGTTGACCCATCTGTTTAGAAGGTATCCTTTCTTGTCAAGTGTCCTTCCTAACGCTTGGGTATGCTTCTTGTAAAGTCTGGGTGCGGTTATATCTCCTCATGCCTTCCCAGCAAACAAATTCTTTGGTTGCTTCAGCTGACTTAAGGGTCACCCCCCAAAAGAGGGGAGGGAGACATAGGCATTTTGGAACACAAATACAGTTATGAAGGGCGCTTGGGAGGCTCAGTCATTAAGCGTCTGCCTTCGGCTCAGGTCATGATCCCGGGGTCCTGGGATGGAGCCCCATCGGGCTCCCTGCTCAGTGGGAAGCCTGCTTCTCCCTCTCCCACTTCCCCTGCTTGTGTTCTCTCTCTCACTGTCTCTCTCGGTGAAATAAATAAAATCTAAAAAAAAATACAATTATGAAAATAACTTTCAGTATTTGTTTTTACTCTGTATCTAATTTGCTATTCTCTGAAGGTTTTTGTGTTTAACTCTCAGATGGCTCTCACGCTGTGATGCTGGTCATGATACTTTATTGTAAAATTCCATTTTTCTCTTGCATCGACATGGAGTCCTCCATGCTACCTTTAAAGGAACGTTTAAACTTTTTTTTTTCCTGGACTTTTCTGAATACCATGGGACCTGTGGCACAGTTCCTGGATATTTGGGGTATGATGTACTAACACAGCATAAACATAAGCCATTGACCCTATTTTGGAGGGGTGTGCATGGGCCCAGCGGCAGAGATGGGTGGAGGCACAGATATTTACCTGTCAAGACTAATGCACAGTCTTTTTTTTTTTTTAAGATTTTATTTATTTATTTGACACACAGAGATCACAAGTAGGCAGAGAGGCAGGCAGAGAGAGGGGAGGAAGCAGGCTCCCCACTGAGCAGAGAACCCAATGCAGGGCTCGATCCCAGGACCCTGGGATCATGACCTGAGCTGAAGGCAGAGGCTTTAACCCACTGAGCCACCCAGGCACCCCAAGACTAATGCACAGTCTTAAGTGGATTGGGCTTCTTAAGTGGCAAGGTGTATTGCAACCCTTGGAAACTTGTCATAGAATGAACTATCAAGGAAGAGCCTATTGGCAAGTATCTAACTCTGCATTGCCACATGTGGCCCTTTTGTGTCCACCTACTGAGTCTCTGCCATACCTTGACATCGGTAGTAGAATTCATTTTGCCTCCCAGACCTGTGGGCATCCTTGAGCCTTTGAAACTTCTTTCCTGGAATTTGAATCCTTAATCCATACTGGTGTGGAATCATGGGAAAACTACTTTATCTCTCTGCCTCTCTTTCCACATCTGTAAAGTGGGGTTGATAGCGCTCATGTCCTAGAGCTACACATACAAGTTGCTTAAAACACCACAGTAAACCCTCATTAAGTGTCAACTATTGTCATAATAATTATCATTCAGGAGTGTTCTTTATTAACATGATGAGAAATTTAATCTGTGAATTAATCACTGAATTTGAAGTTCCCAATGGGCTAAACATAAAATTTCTTTTTTATTTTGCAGGACTCAAAAACATAGTCTTCTCTCAGGTTGTTTTTGCTTCTCTTCTTTTTAAAGCTGAAAGTGTGTTTGTTTTTTTTTTCCTTAGTGCTTTCTGGCTTCCTTCAAATCTATGCTGAAAGTCCACCAGTGTTTTATCTACTCATTTTGACCTTGATATATTTTTAGGTCTGTAATATTTAAAAAGCTGCTATGGACTCTTCTCAGTAACTGTTATTTTACTACATTTAAAAATTCCATCCACTCTACCAACAAAGGCAATAGAGTGCTTCCTTATGGTTGTGGTTTTGCCTCTTTCAGTATATTTTACGCCACTCAAAAAGTCTAATTTAATGTGCCTTCAAATGAAATATTATTTCTCGTGGCTAAATAGGATCTGTACTATCTGATATTTTTCTATTATCTCTTCATTAACCAAAAGTAGGGTCTATTAAAGAAAATATGAAAATGGTTTCACTATAAAAATGGTTTATAGTAGTAACATTATCTAGGGTACAGTTATGTCTGGAACAAATAGAAACTCCAAATGATGAGGAGTGCCTTCATTGTTTAAATACCACTTAAAGATGTTAAATGTTCTATTCCACGTGTTCTGGTTGCTTTTCCTTTTTATTAGGGTCTTATCTCCAAGGCAGTTAAACTGTCATTTCCTGGGTATTTGTGACAGGCACTGTGCAAAGTGCAGGCCCTGTGAAGGTGAATTGACACCTGATCCCTCCATTTGAGGAGCTTGTTGTCTCCAGGCCTTACTGGCTGTGTGACTTTGGACAAGTTGTTTATCCTCTTTGTGCCTTGGTTTTCTCATCTATCAAGTGGGGGAATTAATAACAGTACTGGTCTCATAGGGTTGCTGTGAGAGTTAAATGAATTAATACGTGTGAAAGTTTAGGCCAGTGCCTGGCTTGTTGAATTGCTTAATAAATATTAGCTGTTACCATCACTCGTCAGTCATCATCATCATCACCATCATCACCATCATCTAGTTCAACAGTTTCCAAAGTGCATCTTTTAGAATACTAGTATTATGGGATGTCATTTGTTAACTAAAGGGTTCCATGATAAAGTGTTTGGGAAACACTAAATTCAGCAAAGTTGGATAGGATCTTTACTGTAGAATTTCTCAGAGTCCATAACTTGCTAATGACTTTGTAGATTTTCAAAAAAGTGGTAACGTAGGCAGAGTTTTCTAAATATACAGGAACTTTCAAATGAGTATTTTGCAGCGGAGTATTTTGCAGTGCAAACTTTGAGAAAATAATGACTTAGATCTCCATTTTGTCTGGATTGCGCAAACTTAAGCCACTGTCAGCTATACTTAAAACGGTTAGGCATTTAGATAGTTGAACTACTGCACCTACGTGCATCAGACAACATGGAGCCAAATAGTTACAAATCTCTACCTGGCACTCACTCACTCTGGGACCTTAGTTCTCCCTTAGTTTACCCTTCTGTAAAATCTGGACAATCCTACTATTTGAAAGGATTGTTCTAATGAATAAAATAATGAATGGTAAGTGCCTGGTTTATACCACACAATTCCTTAAGAGATGGCTCTTCTAACTGTCCAAGTAATGCATGGAATTGCCTTGGTTTCTCTTCAACTGGCTCCAACCTCTCCATGCCCCAGATTAACAGGGGGGCCAGAATGCAGCCAACCCTTAGAGGACTTGGACAACTATCTTTCATACGCACATTGAAAAGGTGGCCTTTGACTTGGAAGGGGATTCCAAGTCAGTGTTTTCTTTCAGTTGTACTAAAGAAATCACTTTTTATGCCAGGGACATAAAACTATCCTGAAGGAATCAGTTGATCCTTCCTTTGCCTGGTCAGGGCCTTTGTCTCCTAAGCAGCTATAAGGTTGTATACCAAAGGTTGGCGAATCTTTTCTATAAAGGGCAAGACAGTAAATATTTTAGGATTTGCACATCATTGAGTCTCTGTTCTAACTACCCAACTCTGCCATTATAGCTCAAAAGCAGACATAGGTAATGCATAAATGAATGAGTGTGGCTGTGTGCCAGTGCAACTTTATTTATAAAAACAGGTGGCAGGTTGGATTTGGTCCATGGGCCATAGTTTACTAGCCCTCATTTGTACTCTCCAGGCTGCTTCTTAAACCCCACTGTTTATGGGGATGGAATTGCAACCAAGTTAATATCAGCACACTCAGCATAGTGGGGCTGTTCCCTTCAGATGAAAGCATTTGACATGACAGGTGGGGAAAGCTAGAGCTGCTGGGAAATCCAATCCCATCGATGATCTTCTTGGCAAGTCTCTCTAATGAGACCAAGTGACTTTGGTCACAAACAGCACCTGCCCATCCTTCCCCTTCCTCCTGAGCACACCCCCTTTGGAAACCAACATGGGCCTCCCTAGGGCCTCAGCCCACCCAGAGCCAATGTTCTCTGGGTCGTCACTGGCTTTTCTCTCTACCGTTGACCAAAGTGAGCTATTATTTGTCCTCTCTCATGAGATCTGAGAGCTTCATGGTTGAATGGAAAAGAGTCCTGTTCCTTAGTCTTAGGTCTGCTCTATGACTTCACCTCTTGGTCCTCATGATCTGCAAAGGGAAGGTGTTGCATTAAATGGTCTCTAAACCTCTGTGTAGCTTCTAATAGTCTATGAACTTCCTGAGAATAACTTCTGAGGTTTATTATTAGGATGATAATAACAGCCACAGTTTCTTCAGGGTTTACTATGTATTTGACACAGTGCAGTAAGATCTCCATGGATTATAATGAAAGGTATGGAGAAGGGAAACAGCATGGCCAGGATCACACAGCTTGCAAGTAGGAGAGTCAGGACCTGAACCCTTGTTGTCTGATCACAAAGCCCGTGTGTGGAACCACTCTGCAACATTCTCTAGTCTTATTACTTACCATCCCCACCCTGGCAGAGAGAGTACTAGGAGTGGGTGGGACCATCTAACAGGTAATCATAAGTACCAAGCCAGGTCCTCCCTTTTAAAGAGCTCATGTGACATTAGAAAGAATCACCATTTTAGGGAAGAAGAAACTAATAGCTCACCCTGACTAAAATCATCTTAAATGCAAGTTGGCTCTGAGTGAATAGGACAAAGTAAAGTTATTTGGTGACAAGCATGGTCTCAAAATACAAAGAGCTGTGGCCACTGAATTACCACCTCTCTA